TTGATAAATTTAGCATGCCATTTAGCATGCAAAATTTCTTAATTTTGACTAGTATCAATAACTTTATACCATATATCTGTGCATTTATTTTTATAATACGAGTTAGTCAAAACTTGGAAACCGATATCAGCAAAAAAAAAATCAAAACTATACCTGGTATTTCAAAATGGTTTGAGTGGTCCTGGCCCATAACAGACCAATTTGCAGGATATATTCGTGCTCGCTCTCTTCCTCATATAGGTGCGTGGACTGAATTCCGACCCGAGCAGATTGCTACTTTTTATAACAGACCATCTCCAACATTTTCTGAGCCATCTAAACCCAAAACTACTTGGGCGATGCCAATTCCTAAAAAATCAAGTAAGGACCACTTCTCTATTATGGTTAATTGTCTAAAATATAAAAAAAAAAAAAAAAAAAAAAAAAAAAAAAAGATATCTTATTTTATTATAAAGACACAGGGCTATTTACGAACAAAGAAACCAACAACCAATCAGGTAATGTGGATATTTTGTAGCTGATGATAATCTAGTTGGCTGAAGTCGACTAGTTGACTTCTTAGTTGGTAATTATAGATATAGCTAGCCGATTTTATAGGATGCGTGCTCCCAATATTGTGATCAAGTTACATTGATCTTGGAAATAGTAACGAACAAGAAGTAAAAGGGCTTGTAATAATCTTCGCAATTATCATGTGTGGGTATTTTTGACACACTGCAGTCCAGAATGACCTAAGAGAGATCAACTAGTCAACTTTAATTGAATATTATATCAACCAAGCTAGGCTACAAACATTACGCCTCGCTAATGAATCTATCTACAAATTGATATTTATTTTTAGTTAGTAGTGATGAATTAGGTGAAATATCAAATGCAATAAGAGGTAATAATAAACATACAAGTGCCACCAAAAAGATCATTCAATTCACAGAATATGAGCTCATTAAGATGTAATGAACATATTGGATCTAATTCAATACGACGAATAATGAGGATGTTGAGTAGCTTCGGCCCCATGTGAAAAGTTAAATCAGAATTTAAGAACTCTCAGTTTTTTTTTGGTGACACTCTTGTACGTCCAGACTTATGTATTTTTATAATGCATAAATCTGAACACCCTAGTATGTACAGTTAGAAGTGTGAACGTAATTCCGTAACTTGTCGTAATTATGACTTAACTCACCATAATTATGACAAGTTAGGGCATTGCGTTCACACCTCTACGTACAGTATACCTTTCTATTCTATTTGACAGCCTTAAACATTCAACTCTCATTTTTATTTTACCACTATCATAACAATCTAAAAGATACAAGGTAATATGTTTTTATTATATCATCATATTATAATTCCATTTGGAATTACATATTTCTATATACTAAGAACTTATTTATAGTATTCAAGAATTCCCTCTTTCGCTAGGATGGGCCCTAAAAGAGAATATGAAACTTGGTAACAAAGGTGCCGGAAAACGCATGACAAAAAAAGTATTGCAGTACTTGCAAGGATTTTTTTTGGCGGGTAATTTGAGAGCTGAAGATCGTTACTCACCTGAAGACATGCATGCTAACTTAGAAGATCTGGCAGCAAACGGGGAACTTACTTTTGAGGAAATACCAACAGTAAAAACAATCAAAGGATGGATAGGAAGATATAGTGCATATTTTAAAAAGGAGGCGTCAGAAAAAGCATTATCAGAGAGTAATAGTTATACTATAACATCTGTTGAAAGCGTCAATACTAAACGTCGAAAGTATATTTAGAATATCATCAAACAAAAATTAACAAGCAGTTTTATTATGAAATCTTTCTTTCCTTCATATAAAACTTCTTAAAATACAAAATAATAAATGATTTATAAATACATGTGGTATGGTTGAGATTCAAGTTACTTCGTAATATGTGTAAATTTATGATTCGAAATAACGAATAGCTACTTTTTATTACAATAAAGTATGTATTCACATGATCTATATAATGGATTTGCGCCTATGAAATTCTATCCTTAATAGACGGATCTGCAATTAATTGTTTTATATTCATTTTAGAACAAAGCTCTTCTGCAAGTTGGTAATAGTAAATACTATTAGAAAACTATTGATGTTCTAGCATTAATTCTTAGGTCAATATCCATAGCTCTGGAAGTCCAAAATCTCGTATATACAGTCCATGCTCCGTAATTATATAAGCAATTTCTTGAAGAGTGTTGATGATTATAAATTGTTGATTATGGTGAAATTGTTCTTGCATATTTGCAGAAAGTTTATTATTAAATTTTTGCTATAAATCTAATGCAGGTGTACTATCTGGTGTGCGAATGTGAACAATAGTGATACAACTCAAACTATTTGGGACGTCCCAAACCATATGAAAGTTAGTATTACACAGTTTTGTCAATAAGAACAAAAGCAGCTGAAACTATTGCTTTACTAATCATCGAATGATTTGGGACGTCCCAAATAGTTTAAGTTATAACTATAGTGAACAATGAATAGGGTATGAACAAAGACTATATGTGTTGTACGTTAAAATCATATTTGTGGACTCCGAATCAACTTGTGCTGCAACAAAATTTAAACTGGCTCAGTTGGATAGTTTCAGAACTATGAGATTTGGTATGTAATTTAAATTCAAGTTTGAATTAATTTAATACTGTACATTTTTTAATTTATTCGTAAATTTCTGAGAAATACTGAACAGCTACGTTATATTCACAACTTATGCAAGGCGAAGTTTTTTTCAATCCGATTGTGGCAAAGCTATTCATCACCAATAAATTTTTTAATCGAGTTCGAGTTGATTTAATTTCAATGACTAGCCTTCAAGATGGTGATTTTAATTATATCTATTGCACTTACTAAAATTTTTATTTAGGGTATTCACTATTGGTAGTCAAAATTTTCAATATGTCATAATGGAAATGATTCGGAAAATGATAAGTATTTGTTTTTTATTTGTGAATTTGTTTGCTGATTTTAAATAATAAATATAAATGAAATAATTTGAGTATTTATATTTTATAAGTGTATTATTAATTTGAGATTTTAGTTAAAATTTGGTTGATATAGATCTGAGTTAGAATTGATATTTTGGCTAGAAATAGGGTTATAATAAGAAATGAAATTAGGTTGTATTTTAGTCAAAATAAATAAATATTAATTATAAATAAAATAATAGAAATTTATTATGTTGTATTTGAGTGTTACCAAATGAAAGCCTGCAATTTTGATTTTTACCAGCTTCACTTTCTAATCTGATTTATAATAAATTTAAATTAAGCACAACTTTATATTATATGGTGTGTTAAATCATATTTTTTGGGTTTGATTTGTAAAATTAATTTTAAAAAACTTGCAATTCCTGATTTTTATTTGGCAACACTTATTTGTAAATTATTATTAATATGTAAATATAGATTTTAACTAAGATAATTCAAGTTATAATATGTTATTTTAATAAATTCTTATGTTTAATAAAATTTGTCAAGAAGTAAAAGGATAGGTTAGCTTATAAGTTAGATATATTATTGATATAGATTAGAAATTCAAAAAATTTTTTTAGAGTTTAATATTAATTGAATAATATATATATATATATATATATATATATTTTAAGGTAAGGTCTTGCTCATATCTTTATTGAATAATTTATATAAGAGGTTACATAGTAAACTATATACAACTTAACTTGTACAAATACAAATAAATATAAATTACATGCAAGAGTAAGAGCTCAAACTAATTTAACAATTTATCTGCAACCTAAACCTACTAGAGTGGTCAAGACTCACCTAGCTTTTAAGATTAGTATGAAGTTTGTAGGTATACTAGAAGAGACCCACATGGGGCTCCAGCTATTGAACTTTTTTGTTGCTAGTCCAGCTGGTGGGCATGTGTTATTTTTGTCATGCACTTGATCTGGTTGTCCGCAAAGATAGCTGTATGTATAGGTTTTTTTAAGTTGTTTTGAAGCTGGGCATCTTTTGTATTGGAGAGAATTGCCTGTAAGTTTTGTAGAGATCTTGTGCTCTTTTTTCCATTAAGCTAATTTGGCTGAGTATGGTTTCCAGATCTGTTCATAGATATTTTCAGTTATGTGTAGCAGGGTTTGTATGACAATTTGTAATGCCTCTTTGTGTGATATATTCTCAGATCGAGTTGTAAGTATAAGGTGAGCTGGAATAAGGCCCTGGAGGGTAGTAATGTAATTGTAGTTGTTGGAGGATTGAAGAAAAGGATTGAGTGCTGAGTGTGAGTATAAAGCATTAATGAGAGTATTTCATGTAGGGACTGGTAAGGTTGGGAGTAGTTTGTGAACTGTTTTAGATATAGAAGAAACTATAATTTGGCTAAGTATATTAGGCTGTAGACATGTTAGCCAGAGTGTAGTTGTTTCTGGGAGATTACAGATGAAGCAGTTAGGGAACTGATAAGGTTGTGTGAAAGTAGTTGTATGTGGGAGGCAGTTTAGAAGTATTTTTATTTTGAAGGCTTTTGCATGGTTGAGTTTCTGGCTATTGTAGCCATGTGAGACTTTTTGGTTGTTGTTTAAATATAGCCAGGTTGCTTGTTAGTCGATTTCATCTACAAAGTTTGACTATTCGAGATTATGTTTTTGTGAGGACCACATAGCAATAGTTTGTGCTCTGCATATGTCTTTGATAAAGTGTCTGCTGTAGCTTTCTACTGGGTGCTTCTTCCAGGTAAGGGTAGGGAATGGATTATACATATTAGTATGGGCTAAAAGAAGTATGTGGGGCTGAGGGCGAAGTATAGCTAGTGAATTAGTGTAGTTATTAAATTTGTCAACTGAGTGTGCTATGACTTTGTGTAGATGGAGTTGGATTTTGTAGGATTTGATAAAGCCTATTATAGTATGCCAAATAGGCCAGTAATTGCACTTAGTGTACTTAGGTGAAAGTGGGGAAGTTTGACATAGGCTGTTATATTTGGATATAACTGATTGGGAGTCTGTGAATATGTTTACTATAGCATCTCTTAGAGCTGTTGAGATTGCTAACAGAATTGCCATAAGTTCTGCTTTGTATGAAGAGGGCCAGCTTTTAATTTCTGCTGAGAATTCTTGTACTGGTTGGTCATCTTGAACTTGAACCCAGCCTATACCTATTGAGCATTGTTCTGTGCCTAGTTCTATCACAGGCCCATCGGTATAGAAAGTAAGGTCCTTGGAGAAGATATTGTGAAGTGCAAGTTGGGTAAGCTTTTGGGAGGCCTCACTGTTTTGAAAGATCTGAGTGGTAGGTAGGTCAGAGATAGTAATAGTAGAAGGTGGGGGAATATAAAAAGGGTGTTTAATTGCTGTAGAGTAAATAAGGTCTATATAGTTGGCATTAAGTTTTAGAAATTTGTTTGATGTTTTCCTGCCTAAGAATTGAGTAGACAGGGTTTGAAATACTTCAAGTATGCAGTGATTGGTTATTCTATTAGAGTTCAAGCTACATCCTGAGCATGGAGAGCAGGTAATAGGTAGGAGTGGGTATTCATTTTGTTGAGCTGTGTCAATATTGTATACCCAGTGAGTAATTGATATGAAGTTTGAGTTTGGGAGCTTTTTTCGCATCTGACCAGTAATAATGTTGTTGTTTTGGTATGTAAGTAGCCAGGGCTTGTAGGCTTTGTGAATAAGGTTGGTATAGTAGGTGAAAGTATTAATTTTTTGTGGTTGCAAATATGAATGTATAGTGCAGTGGAGAGTATCCGCTAACAGTGTATTTTCTAGGTATATAAACCACTGTGGCTTTTTCCCTTTTGGGAGGTGTAATAGTCTAGGAGAAAGGTGCGTTTATTCTAGTAGGGTTTGATTGTCTGCTGTGTAGAGCTGCTCGAGATATAGTATTCTTTCATGTCTAATTTGTTGTTTGAAAGTGCTATAGTTGGGGTGGTGAGCTATAAGTTGTTCAAGTGGTGTATTGCTGCTATCAATAGTTTGTGGCCATGGTGTATTAGGGTTTGTTTCTATTGTTAGGCCAAAGAAATTGTATAGCTGTATAATCTTAAAATTAGTGGTGTGGTGGTTGGGACCATCAATATGTGGATGAGAATATTGGAGTAAACTGGTCATAGACCAGAGATTGTTTTGCTGTAGTCTGATTTGGGTAGTAAGCCCCAGAGTTGAAGTGTTGTTAAGTCTGTTGTAAAAATTGCTAATATGGTGTTGGAGCTGTATATCCCAAATGTTGTTAATATTATATATGTTGTAATTAAGCATAGTGCTATTAGGAGTAGATCTGGCAAGATGAGATTTGTGTTTGGCTATTGTAAGATATTTGCCTAGTAGTTGGTTACAGGTTGAGTGTGGAATAACAATGTTTTGGATTCTATATTTTGTTGTTGGGATAATAACTGTATTGATGATATATGCGACTTGTTTGTCAGTAATAATTTTTTTACTAGCAATATTAGCTAGTTGTAGAGCCTTGTCTTGTATTAGTTTGATTTGGGCTGTTTGCTTGTTATCAAGAGTAAACCAGCATTCAAGAAATTTGAATGGTTGGTATGTAGGAGTGGAGATTAGACTGGTATTTAGGAATGAGATACTGGCGTTAGGCTGTTTGGAGATGAATATGGATTTAGTAGGGTTGACTTGTATGTTGGCCATTTGGTAAAAGGATATAGCTATATCTACAGTTTTTTCTAAGTCTTCCTTGGATTGAGCAATCCATACAGTATTGTCCATATATGCTAGTACTGAAATTGATGCATGGAGATGGTTTGTAGATGGGTGTATAAGGCTTGTTTGCCAG